TTGTTTAATTCTCACATGTATCTCCAGGGCCTGGCACAATGCCTGGTAGGACACAGAACTTAATAAATATGCTAAATAAATGTCAAAAACTAAAAAGTGGGAGAACAGTAAGGGTTTTATAGGTCTTGATTTTTAAAAATTCTTGAGTTGTTTCTCTTGCCTTGTTTTTTTCAAAGATGCAGATGTCCTCTTAACTGAGCTCAACTGAACCAAGCCCCCAATTTACCCAATCCCATCCTCTGCATTCCTTTGCTACAACACCTAGATCTAATGCCCTCAGCTTGCAAAAGCTCAGTTACTTGGCTATTCTAGTTTACTAGCCCATTTCCTCTTTTTTTTTTTTTACCAGTTATGCTGAATATTTACCAAGAGACATTTGTGTTTGTTCCCAAACCTTTTACGTCAGTTGTACTCATTATTGTATTTACGTAATTTAATTGTATATTACGTAAACTAACAAAATATCTGTGCATAAGCTGTTGTTTCTATTATGAGTGCTTTGGGAACACCTAATTAAGGTGAGTAGATTAAAGGAACTGCTGTCAAATTAGGGGTGAAAAGACAACAACAAAAGACTAGGGCTGTGTGGGGGAACTGTACAGATCTAGAATGATTTATGGTACCTACTCTGCCAGGGTCTAAGCTCTTGCATTAAAGAAATCAAATCTGGAAATTATAGAGGATGCAATATACGTGCAGCTTATACAAGTAAAATGATGCAGAATTCCAATAAATGAGTCCATTTATAATGAAAGCAAGAGTCCATTGAAACATCACCTGTCTTTCCTTCACATAAAGCACTCTGAAATTCTCTATTCTAAGCAGTTTAATTTCATTAAAAAAAAATGTTGGTTGTGACCCACTAAAGTGATTTTGTGACTCACAGTTTGAAAGGATGCTGCTCTAATTCCACTCCTCGATTTTACTGATGGAGGCTCAGGGAGACTGAGGAGATCCACTAAGATCACATAGCTGGTGAGTCAGAATTCTGATCCTTGATTCCATATCCCATGGGCCTGTTTGCTTCCCTGAGTAAACTTCCCTCTGATGCAGCACAGTTTCATTTGCAAAAAGTAGAAGGTGAAATGAGGAATTGAATGACAAGGATAAATGCTAGAAAAGAAAGGAAAGAATCCCTCATTCTCTCCTGAGGTTCCATGTTCGTCTAAGCATTCTGCTTAGATGGTGCAGAATGGGGACAGGCTCCCAGCATGTCTAAGCGTGTTAGCACATGCAGATACATGCGTCTTATCCCTGAGCTAAGACATACCAAGGCTCTTGTGCTTAGACACATATTTGGAACAGTGAACCAAGTGCTTGGGTGGAACACGTGAGCCTTCTAATTTTAGAATGACTTCAGCTCCACATGGGAAAACTCCAGACAATGGAATGGGGAAGCAGTTTGCAGTTCTGAAGAGCTTTTGTTAGGTGAGATGAGCAATAAACTGTTCCCTTGTTTGCCGGCTGACCCATGTTCTGCCTGTTTTCCAAACAAGCAACACCTTCAAAGACTTTTCCCTCTAACCTGACTTGCCCTCCCTCTAGGCACCCCCGGCCCAAACTTGCCCTCTCAGCAAGGGTAAGCCCAGTGTCCCCACCAAAATCTAGCCACCATGTCTCTAAGCCAGATAATAGTGGTGATCTTCCCCATGAATAATACTGGCATGAATTTTCCAATTCTTTCTATCACTTCTGAAAAGTTTCCTAGACATCAAATTAAGCAAGCCTTCAAACATTCCCCAATTCCAGGAGGGTGTCTTCAAACACAGGTGAGAGGAAGAAGCAGAAGTTCAGAGGTTTGAAGAGCCACCCTGAGTAATCAGATTGTGAAGGCAGATAGTAGAGGGAGCCTGGCTCCCAGGTGCCCGAGCAAGGCCCGCACCACACCCCTCCGTCATTACGGTGAGTCTCATGAAAATATGAGAACCAGCCTGGTAACTGTGCAACATTTCAGAGGGTTAAGCAAGCAGCTACCCAGCAACTTAACCTGGTGCATTCTGTCCTGGTGCACTTGAAGGGACATTAAAAGGTGGCTTTTGAAGATAGGTCATAATTCCTTCCTTGGGAGGGTGTGACAGGTGTTCTAAATTGTGTGTTGCCACCTCGCCTGGCCTCCAGCTAATGTTTCTCCACATGCTTTACAAATTGACAACCAACCAGATACAAAATTTCTGTCCTAACCCCGAGACTATTTACTCCTGTAACAACTGTTTTCTAAATTGTGCACTAAGTCAGCCGAGGTTGCCTTATGTCATTCTGAGGCTCTCATTATGGGTTCCTGTGCTGTGAGGACAAGGACAGAGAAGGACTGCTCCTCTGTGTAGTCCCACTAACTAGAATGTTACAACTGGAATGTAAAATAAGCATCTGGTTCCAAGAGAATTAAATACATGGCAGTCAGTCACACTACCACTTCCCAACCTTGGGTCCATAGCAGGCATCACCAGTTGATCATTTTGGAAAGGTGTAGCATTAAAATTTTATAAGGCAGTCTTATAATCCTTCTCAACAAAGGTTTCCAAATAGCCTTTACTGTCCCATCAGGGTGGTCATATAAAAAAATCTTACAGGCTTTTCTTGATTCAAATCCAACAGATGAGGAAACTAAGATCCAAACAGGAACCAGATGGGTAACTTGTCCAGGGACTTGGCAACACTGAGACCAGCTAAACCTAACACCCAGGATCCCTGACCTCTGGCCTCTGGCACGCAACCCTCCAGTGTCCCCCCAAAGTAAATGTCTGAGAAACATTCACTGATGACGGTATGGGGTGGTAAATGTGGCAGGTGGGGTGGTCCCCAGTTTGAGCTGTACCCATGACAGAATTTCAGCCATGTCTGGTAAGGACAGAGTGTGGGTGGTCAAGGCCAACCAGGGCCTGAGGTGTCTTCCAGGAGACAGGAAGGTCCTAAAGGAAGGAAAAGTTAAGCAAACAGGCCCAATTCAGTTGCAAAGCCTGAGACCTTGGAGGGGTGGTATGACAAGGTCATCACTATTTGGACTTGTCACCTGGCCCAGCCCTCTCTGGACTCATGTCTAGGGCAGTGGGGCAGGGTGAAGAGTAAGTAAAAACAGCAAGAGCTATTCCACCAGCCTCTCTGGGCACAAGTCCCATAGCTAAGTGACCCATCCAACAGAGAGCAAGGCAGAAGCCAGACAGGCAGCTCACCTCCCTTCTCCACAGACCACCAACCAACCCAAGGGTCTCAAGGGCACTAGAAGCTGTGACTCTGCCCCTGCTCTGGCCCACCACACTGGGCCACAGAGTGGCACTCAGCCAGTTACAGGGTAACGTGTCACACAGTAGGGCTGGACAACTGTTTTCTGAACATACATCACACTGAGGGAGAGGAAACCTCAGGCACTCATGTCAGACACATTCTCACGGGAGCAAGTGCAGAAAGGTAGAACGAATTGGTCACGGATATAGCAAGGACAGTCATTTCTGTGTAAATGTAACGGGGCTTCCCATGTCTGCCCAGGGGACACTGGGAAACCCCAAAGGGACTCGGCAGGAGCCACACCTGAGGTCAACAGTGAGGACCAGGAGGGGCTAAGGATATACCTGGGCACAAATGCATCCCAGGAAGTCGGGACAATTCTGAGAACAGCAGGATGGGGTCACTAACCCACACCGCCCTCCCCACCAATATATTCACATTGGAGCCCTTTGTGATATGGGAGGTAATTAAAAAGTGAAAGAACTGCTTCAGGGAAATTCTAGTAGAACCTGGACCCCAGAAGCACTGCTCCACTTTCACCCCCAGCCCGAGCAAAGCATAACACAGCGAAAGGGAAGTATTCTCTGAGGTACCACCATGGACACCTTAAGGGTTCAAGAGCATCAAGGCTAACACCTCCAAGGGGAGACTGTAGGGCTGCAGAAGCAGTGGTACCTGGTAGACGTGACAGCGTCACCTTCAGTATTTGGAGGAATGGTCTAGAAGAAGAGAGGACCTGACAAAGTAGCGGGGCCACTGTAAGCGTGGGTAGAGAGCTTATGAATACATAAGGAAACTGTGCCCTGACATCTCCCAGAAATAACTAGGGAGATACGGTCTCATGCATTGCTGGGGCAAAAGTCAGCTCAATTCACTTGGAAAGCTATTTGGCTATTTGTTACAAGGGCCTTAAAGATATTTATTCTTCTTCTGGAGATATGTCCTAAGGAAAGAATGCAAAAGAAGAAGCTGCCATGTACAAAGATGTGGCATAAAAATTTAAACTGGAGGCAACATAAATACCTAATGGGGAGTGCTTAATTACACATGTCCATTTTAATGGAATGTCATGACATTTTATAAGAAAAAATTTTAAGAATTTCTAGCAACATGGAAAAACACACAACTCCAAACCTTGAGTTTAAAAAGCAGGAATAAGTAGCTTCCTCACCACGACTAGCTGTATAAAAGTACCAGTGCCCATGCACAAAGGCCAAGCAATGTGCAAGGAACAGTGGGCGTGTCGGGAGTACTCAGATCACAAGAAGCTTGCTGCCTCCATTTTCCAGACTTTCTAATATATTGGTCTATGATCTTTCGAATGAAATAAGGAAAACATTACTACAATGTCAAAAGAGAAAACAGAAAATAACTGAACAAAGATCACCAGGCAGACGCAGATAAGAAGGCTCAGAAATCCAAGTCCTTTTTCAGATGGATTGCTACATACACTAGAACAACAGGGTTGGATCTGAGCTCTTGGGTCCTGCAGGCTGTACTTTGCAGAATGCAAGACCACATTGATTGTCTGAACAGAGAGATGGAAGGGGGCGAGCCCTGAGGGACTGTGGGACAGCCCTCCTCACACTGCAGGTAAGACCTCCTGAGCATGACCATGGCCCTAGGACAGAGGGCAGAGAGGGCTCGGGGATGGCCTTGCACAGCTCTGCATGCAGGAGTCCCTGAGGAAGCCTAGAGCCCAGGCTCCACATACCAGCTAGGGTCTGCTCCCCTCCCATGCTCCACGCACCATCCCACACCGAGGGGACAGGACTCACCACTCAGGGCAGACGTGGTGTTCTCCAGGGCCTGGCACACAGCCAACAAAAGACCTGTTGAGGGGACAAGAGAGGAATGGTAAGAGTCTGCTCAGCAAACAACCTCCAGGGTTCACAGGCAGGCCCCTTGAAAGGTAAAGACTGAGCAGTTCTACAAAATGGCCCATAGGCAGGCCTGGCCCCATCATTTGGGGGGGCTCAATACAAAATGAAAATGGACCTCTTGTTCAGAAAAGTGGGAAAAAGGTGTCATTAAACATGCTAAATAGAAATATTTTTCCTTTTTTTCCATGGTCTCTCCACCTGTCATGGTGTTTCTCATTTTGTTTTTAAATACCTTATAAATTTTTTTATTGCAGTGGAATCTACATACAATTTACTGTTTTAACCACTTTTGCGTGTACAGTTTAGTGGCATTAAGCACATTCACATTGTTGTGCATGTCATGATGTCCTATGTAATTTTTATTTATTTTTTATTATTGGAATATAGTGGCTATGCAATATTACATTGGTTTCAGATGTACAACATAGTGACTCGATAATTACATATATCATGACGTCTTTTTATGTGCTGTTCATGTCCTTTCACTCTGAGGTATGAGGATATCTTCAGAGTGAGCACAGTGCCTCATAGATGCACAGGGGCCCCAGCAACAAAGTCTGCAAGTTCACATGTGGCCACTGACTGCTGGGTCTCCCCTCCAGCTGCCAACTGGACGGATACGCCATCACCCCGCTGGGGACAGGGAAATCCAACCAGGTACTCTTCTTTCCAGGAACCAGCTGCCCCAACCCAAGGAGCACAGCTGACCCCGAAGACTGTTACATCTGCTCAGGGATGCACAAGGTCCCTGGAGAGTGGGTAGAAGAGAGGCTCGCCCCTGTCTAGTCACCTACTGAACATGCCATGGAGCTGCCAGCCCAGGACGGTGCCAGCCCAGGACCCCAACCTTTCTTGTGTCCAGGCCCTGCCAAGGGCAGAGTGTGGCAGGGACAAGAACCTCCCCAAGGGAGGCAGAACGGTGGCAGTAGGTGTGGTCATGGTTGCTGAGGCCTCAAGCTCCACAGTGTACCCCGCATTGTCCCACTGGACTTCACTTACAAGATACAAATTTAAAGGTAAAACTATTAAGAATGTCAAGACTGTAACCACACAGCATTAAACCCCAAGCTTAGGGTACATCAGAGTGAGACTCTATGAGACTACCCAGGTTACATACCCATGGAGCTGCCTCTGCCAGCAGATGACCTTATGTGCCCTCACATTACAGTACTAGAGATTTCTGGAAATGGCCACAAAATTCCAATGAAGAAGGAACTTTTTATGAGTTATGCAATCAGCATGAACTAAGTTAGAATGACTTCCTAAAACCGAAATGCAACAAGATGCCATGGTGGCTGTGCAGGGCTGGGCCACCTATGGGTTAGCCCAGGAAGCAGATGAATCAAGTCAGCACAGAAAGCATGCAGAGTTCTGCTCTGTTACCCCGCCACTGCACAGGCCCAGTGCAAGCCCCGCCGTGCAGGTTGTGAGGGCTCCTTTCCCCTCTTCACTCAGGTACAGACGCAGAAGCCCTTGAGTCTTAGGGGAGAAACACATTTGGGGCAGATAAAGCAATGATGGTCATGACTTTCCTTAAGTCCTTTGCAATAAGAAAAGTCACATAAACTTCAGACCCCTTTTTCTGGACGTGGGCATGGATTTCCCAAATGCCCCTGCAGAGTCCTGAATCAGGTATTTGGGCAAAACTGGGGAGCAAGGAGAGGAAGTTAGTAAAATCACACATCTTCTCTGTGCAATTCTTTCTTGCTACTTGACAGTCATGAATGTTGGAAGCATGGTTCTTTGGGTTCCCTTAGATGTAGCTAAATGGCTGCATTTGTAAGCCACACAGGCTCAGAGAGGTGACACATTCCTGTCATGGCCAGGAACAGTCTTAGTGGTTCCACATTGTCAGCTGGAGACCCATCACAATTTCACTTTGCTGGCACTACCACAAACCACTCTGGGCCAAAGTCAGCCAGGGACCTGTAGTAACATAAAGACTGACACAGGATGCTTTGCACACCTCTAGAGAGGAAGTGCCACTGGCCTGTCACAAACTGTCCCTGAATGACAAATGAATCACCTTGCCATCTGCTCCATATCCTGTCAGTCAGCAAACGTATAGTCAGTACAGCTCCTGGGCTCCAGGTCAACCTCTGCTTAAGCAAAACCAAGAAAGCAAACCCATACTGTGCAGATGCAGCCAGGACAGGCAGATACGGCCACCAACTCTCAGGGCGTGTGGAGGCGCTGCTCCTCAGCCTTGGGGCAACTTACTTCACCCCCTGTTCCTTACCTGCAAGCCATCAGCTGCCAAACTCAAAGGTGTTTTGGGGACTAATCAGAGTTTGCAAAGCTACTGTGTTCCACAGATGAAAGACACTGGGTTTTTATTCACAATTTGAGCAATACAAGAAGAAGTCCTTCCTGCACTCTCACATCCTCATGCAGAAAACTTCTGAATGCCCTGGGTTTCTCTCTGCAGTCTCCATTCAGGCATACGTTCAGCTGAGGCGCTGTGATGAGAGGTGAGGCCTCTGCTTTCTCTGCATGTAGTGACCTGCTAAGAGGGTCCCAGACCACAGGCGGGAGGCAGGCCTCTCATTTCTCAGGCAGGTGGGCAGGTATAGTTCTAGGCCAGCACTTGGGCTTTACATGTGTTATATTATTTTGTCTTCTCATCACCCATGATATAGGTGCTTCCCAGCCTCCCTGCCTTCTGGTTCAGCCTGTTGAAATGTGTGGTTTTATAGATGAGGAAACTGAGGCTTAGATAAGTTAGGAATTTTCCCAAGCTCCTGCAGCCACATTCAAGCTCAAGTCTGTCCAACTCCTATGCCCAAGACCATGTTTAATCCCCATGCCACACGGCAGTCCTTCTGGCCACAGCACATCACGAACCACTGGGAGGCATGCACTCACCAGCTACAGACCCCAGTGAGCCCAAACGCAGTCAGCAGGCCCAGCAGTGAGGCTTGATCCCTCTCTTCTAGGCCACATCCGTTGCCTCTTGGGATTTTCCCACTGCCTCCAATTCCTGCTACTACGAGTAAGGTCTGCTGAGGGCCAAGGGTGTGAACATCCAGACCCCCGCCTGCCTGGTCTGTGTAAGCCCAGGTGCCCAGGCTGCCAGCCCCACGGCTGTGCTTGGAAAAGCCAGGCTGTGTGAAGACCTCAGAAATGTGGCCTTGGCAGGCTCCGAGGCTCATCAGAAACACACAAAATCCTTTGCTAGAGCACCTGTGTGGGGACAGCACAGCCACAGGGACAACCACTGACCGTAGGGGCATCAGGGAGACCACACACAGTTCAGATGGAGGCTTGGTGGCCGCGGCCACAGGCAACTCTCGCCTGAGTTCCGAAGCCGGACCTTGCCAGCCACAGGGCCAGCCACCTCTCTCTGGGGCAGGAATACCTTTCAGGCTGTTCTGGCCAGCATCTCATTTCTGTTTAAATGCTGTATGCAGGGGAATCCCTGGATCGTGCACTTCAAAAAGAAAAGAGAAGAAAAGGAGGCGGTGAGGTTTTGAAAAGGTTTTGGTGGAAAATCACATATAATGGAAGGACATCTTGTGAAAGGCAGCACCCTCAAAGGAGAATGGGGGACCCAGGCCTGCCCTCAGGGAAGGACAGGGCTGCTGAGCTTGTAGCTGAGCTGTTTGGAGCTATGTAATAGTCTCCAGCAGAAAGAATGTCAAAAGAGGGGCTGGCTATTTATCTTGTGAGTGTGCTGAATGCAGCCGTCATGAAACCCAACAGCTGAGGTGCTGATGTGAAATGCAGAGAGGTGCTGGGCCCCCACCTGCCCCTGGGCCACATTGCAGGGCACCCTCTGCCTTCTGCCAGCCCTTCACTCAGGCACAGGATTGGGATCCAGGTTGGGCCTTCAGCATAGGATACCCTACATCATCTTCCACCTATGATCAGCCCTCTGCAGCTGCTTAGTCTAGTGCCCAGATCTGGGAGAAGCATCCGCAGGCCCCAGTCAACCCAGCAGAGTGATCTGTCCTGCTGTGGCCTCTGCAACAGCCAGTATTTCTTTCTAGGCTCCTACTGACACCATTGTTTGGATCAGTTGTTCCTCCTAGAAACCAAGACCAAGAAGATAAAAACCACATCTCACCCATTTTGGGATCTCCTACGCCAGGCTGCCTGAGTGAAGGGGTGGAGGGCTGGTGGGGAGGTTTTGGTGTCAGGGAGATGTGGGAAGGTGGAGTGAGGGTACAGCAGGTCCCTGGATGAAGGACGTCCTGGACTGGAGGAGGTGGCGAGAGAGGCAGAAAGGTATGTGTGTGTCGGGGGTCGCCAGGGTACCTCCTTCCTCTCCTGCCTCCTCTCATGCTCAGGGCTGGGGGTCATGAGGGACAGAGCCAGGAGCTCAGGAAGTGGTGGGGGTACCTGGACATGACAAGCCTGCAGCTCAGCGTGAGGTCAACAGGGGACACTCATGGGGCAGCCATGTGAGTGCAAACATGTGCAAATGGGTCACAGAGAATCCAGACCCTGCTGCTACGGGTACTAGCGCTCCTTCCCTTAAATTTTCTCTGCAAACAGGGCAGGATTTGAACTGCATAACAAAATCTGCAGTACTGCATGACTTTATCAGTACTCTTAAATGCAAGAGGTTTTGATAGCCTAGTGAAGGTGTTGGTTTCAGAGTAAGAACTGATGAAGAAAGAAAAAGGAACACCCTGCAGGCGGGGCATGGAGGGAAGCTGGCAGGGCCAGGGCACCATGAGCCTGAGCCCAGCTGTAACATCCCTAAGTGCCATGGCAGAAAGCAGTCCGTGGCATCCCCATTGTCCCAGTGGAGAAGGAGGGTCCTCAGCGAGGCCATGTTTTCTTTCCAGGCAAGAGGTGATAGTCACATTTGCCCTTCCTTACAGACACACCAGCGACACTGGCTTCAGAGGATGCCAGGCAAACTGCAGAGGAATTTGTAGAATAACTGGCCAGACAGGATCAGGGAAACTCTGGGGATGGCAAGGAGAGTTTAGAAATATGTG